ACCAGGTACATGACTCAGACAATCTGCTCCCTTGTCAGCAGGGAAAAAAAATGGGCTGCAAAGCTTCACACCTGAACTGCTCTTCGATCTTCAAGGAGAATCCAGCCTTTGCTTTGCATACCAGTGGCTGCTTGTGCCTGGCAACATCAAAGTATGGTCCTGTTCACCACGTGGGAACCAGGCAGGGTAGAGGCATGAGCCAGCCCATGCTTTCATCAAGACGCCCAGACTCTTCTGCATTACCTAATACCTGCCTCCCTGCCCCGCTGGCGGTCCTTCAGTTACACCAGCATGAGCTTGATGAGGTGCAAGAGCTAAATGTCTGTCATTCATGAATAGAATAGAATAGAATAGAATAGAATAGAATAGAATAGAATAGAACAGAACAGAACAGAATAGGACTAGACTAATTTCAGTTGGAAGGGACCTACAATGATCACCTAGTCCAACTGCCTGACCAATTCAGGGCTGATCAGGTTAAAGCATGTCGTTAAAAGCATTGTCCAAATGCCTCTTAAACACTGACAAGCTTGGGGCATCAACCACCTCTCTAGGAAGTCTGTTCCAGTGTTTGACCACCCTCTCAGTACAGAAATGCTTCTTAATGTCAACTCTGAACATGTCAAGTCTTGCACTCCTTTTAAAAAAAATAGTTGTGCTTTCGATCAGGAGTGAAATTGAGAGTGCTGGCAGGTCCCAAACTACACGTGGTCATCTCTTGTAGAGTTTTACTGAAAAGGCATGGAGTTACTACTCCAGACATCACCTATATAAATTATCAATCAGACTCACAGCTGAAAATGCATCAGAAAAACATTCAAGAAGCCAATTTTTGGACAGTGCTGTCCTATATTAATGTCGCAGCTCCCTGACTCTACTAAGATGCTTGTCTTTTTATTTCACCTTCACGCTCTTCTGCTAACTTCTTACGTTATCAGCATTCATGGCTCAAGTTTTTTGGTGCAAGGACTGGTTTTTTACTATGTCATATTAAATCTGGTTTAAAATAACTCAGTTTTTATTTTAAAGAAGTTTCAACTTTTGATTTCATGCCTTATTGTAACAAAAGCAAATTTACCAGTTTGTTTTATATTTAAGATTTTGAAATTTCATTTCAGAATCACACAGGGATATTTCATGCTTACATAAATAACATGCATATACACCAATTACAATTAAAAATGTTAAATCTCACTGGCCCTGTTACCATGATTACTGACACATAAAATAACCTAAGAATTTTTTTTTAAATAGAATGTGTGCAAAAGGAATCAATTTGGGGAGCAATAGCTTTGCAATATAACTTGCAAATACTTCTTTCAGTGAATCAGTACTTCCCAATGCAGAAAAAAAAAATTATCTAAGCAATGAAGCATCTTAAGCCTATAGCTGCCTTTGGACTAAGCAGGTCTCAGTCTGCCTCGCACCTCCCTGTTGTCCAGGGAAGCTCAGGTAATTCCCAGCCACAGCTCAGTGTGCAGAGCCCAGGATGAATGCATTCCAGCACAGTTCTTCTACCACCCTGAAAATATACCTGCTGAATTTTATCTTCTGATCATAATTCTCAGTCCAACCCTGAAACGGACAACAGGTAAGAAAAGTTCCTCTGCTTCGCCACGTGTCCTCGATGTGAAGTCTATGAACTGCACCTGCACTTGCTGCGGTGCTGCCACTGCATGCAGCTGGCAGCCAGCACCACCCTGCTGGGAATCTGTCCTTGGCTCATTCTTCCCAGCTTCAAAACCAAAGCAAATTTTTCTCACCAGAGAGCCAAATCCTGCCAAAGAGTAACTGGATCCCCGCTGAAATCCCCTGTAAGGACGACACTGTTTTGGACACTGGAAAAACATGACCTGTGCACATTAGGTTCTGGCAGGATCAGGCCCACACTTCCTTGGTTTGGCTGAATGAAATGCAAGCAGGGTTTTGGGGTGATTTCAAAAGCAGAAGAAAAAACCTTTTCAGTCTGCGCAGCACGACCTCATTCCTACGGGGAATGTCGTGTCTCCTGTGCTGTGCAAAGAAGTACCTTTGTACCCAAGACTTTAAAAGCATCAACAGAACAAATTTCACCTCAGAGACCTAGTTCCCTTTTTTTTCCTCCTGTTCCTTAATATCATCACCAGAAACTGATGAAAACCTTTTGCACTGCAGTAAGATTTACTGCTTATTGGTATTACTAGCTGTGCCCATTCCCACGCTCCCCTGTGAGGCCTGATGTGAACCTCTAGCACTGCCACCGAGAAGGACACTTATCAGTGAATAAGCAGGCAAACAACAGATTTAAGTGGTAATCATTTTAATCTAGTTTCTTCCAGCCTAAAACATAACGATGGCCCCTGTGTCTAGAGGATAATGACACAGGTGCCACTAAGATGCTCTGTATCTTTTCTTCTGCTGCCACGTTTGTACTACTAAAAAGTATTTTTCTACATACCGAGGCTTGGTATTGGTTTGTATTAAGGATTTTCTCTGTGGTATCTAATAGATTTTTTAAACAGGTAACAGGGAAGACAATTCCCTACCTCCTTCAGAGTGAACCCACAGGCAGGATAGGTGAAAGAGACATCTGAGAACTGCTGGCTCTAAAAGCACCAAACT